AGGATTTAGGTTAAAGGAAACTACAGGTGGGAGTTTAGGGTATATAGGGCTTCTATAAGGCTTCTATAAGGTATATAAACCTTCTATAAGGCTCCTATAACGGCAACTACCCACCTGAAAATGTCTTGGATAAGGGTCAGGGGGCCCCGAATCCTGGTCGGCTCCACGCAGTTCTGGTCCCATCCCGGTATACAGACGAAGCCCTAAACCGGAAGGGGTTTGGGTCTAGGGTTTAGAGTTTCGGGTTCATGGTTTAGAGTTTAGGGCTTTGGGTTTAGAGTTTGGGGGTTAAGTTTAGGGTTTAGAGTTTAGGGTTCAGGGTGAAAGCTCGATAGAGCTTCACTTCAAGGGACGTTCCGTAATTCAGAAAGCTAACAGCCTATCACAGTAAAAAGGGGTTTCAGCTTTAAGACGGCTTGGCACTGAGGCCATAAACAGATCAAAACCAACCCTAAACCCTAAACCCTAAACCCTAAACCCTAAACCCTAAACCCTAAACCCTAAACCCTAAACCCTAAACCCTAAACCCTAAACCGAACCAAATCAAGACCTCACTCCTTCGGAAGCCTTAAAGGCCAACCCCTAGCCCCGAAGCCAAAGAAACCCTTAAGCCTCATTCCCTAAATTACGTAAATCCTCTTCATCCCTTCCACTTCCCTGACTAAACCCTAAACCCTAAACCCCAAACCCTAAACCCTAAACCCTAAACCCTAAACCCTAAACCCTAAACCCTAAACCCTAAACCCTAAAACCCTAACCCAACCCCATGGGCCCCGTTAAGTGCCCTTAGATCCATTCCAGCTCTCGTGGTACGGTTGATGGACAAAATCCTGCGTGACTTTATATACCTAAACTATGGGATTTATGGTACTATACTATAATCCCTATGATAGTCCCTTAAGGTCCCTTATAGTAGTCCCTATAACCCATTCCCCCCATTCCCTACTAAACCCTAAACCCTAAACCCTAAACCCTAAACCCTAAACGCATTCCCCCATTCCCTACTAAGCACCAGACAGACGAGGCCATTTCCTGCCTCAGCCGCACCCGGCGCTGGGAACTCGCCCTGCACCTCTTCGCAGGCCCGGGGGTCGTGGGGGGACCTATTTAGGGTTTAGGGTTTAGAGTTTAGGGTTTAGGGTTTAGGGGTTTAGCAGAGATGGTTTTGAAACCGGTGTTCCGAAAAGATGCTCTTTTTCTATTAGCACCGGCAGAAGAGGGTTCTTGAAAGTTTTAGGGTTGTTTAAAAGATGGTTCTAAAAGCCAGCAGAAGAGGCTCTTGTTAAAACCTTGTTTGAACGATGGTTGTTAAAACCAGCAGAATAGGGTTGGTAAGAGCGCGCTTTTTAAACAAAGGGTTGTAAAACCAGCAGACGAGGGATTCTTGACAAGAAGGGTTTTAAACTCCAACAGAAGAATGGTTTTGAACATCGTTACTTACAAAGCTTGCTTTCCAACTCAGCAGCAGGGGGTTTTCTGAAAAGTATTTTAAACGAGTGGTTCCAAACAACCAGCAGAAGATGGTTGTTAAACCAGGTTTGTTAAGGTGGGTTTTTAAACACCATCAGAACAGGGCTTAATATTAGGGCTTTTAGACAGATGGTTTTTACACACCAACAGCCGCTTTTGTTTACAACGTTTTTTAAAGATTGCTTTTAACATCACCAGAAGAAGGGTTTTTGGAAACTCTTTCTCTGACACAGAAGTAATCATGTTCTGTAGCTCCGTGATTTATGCATACCACAATGTACCCCCAAACCGTGTGCAATTCGGTAAGGCCCCCACCCTGCATGATGCAGCCCCCTGGAGGTTTGCAGAAGTGGAGAATGGAGACGCTTGGCCCCATATTATATTGGCGTGCAGCTCTGAACTCATTGAGGTGTTTTTTCTTTCGGGAGGGGGGTTGGAGGGCTGAGAAACCTACCTGCGCACCATGCCTTCAATAATTGTACCCTAACCCACACTACTGGTACAATGACGAGGCCTTCTGGAACAGCGTTTCGAGTTATGTTTTGTCTGCGACTTCCTTCCTCCTTCCCAGCACCTTCTCAACCTTAAGCCACGATGGAACCGCAGCTGCGGAGCTCAAGCTGCACATGCACATGCTGCGCTCCAGCCGCCTGACGTTATGGCCTCATGAGGCTGTTCGTCTTGCTGGCTCAGGCATCGCTTTCCTCGTGTGCGGCTGCAAGGCAGCATTTAGGTCCAGGTTTGCATTCAGATAGTTGCGACACTCTGTTGCTCTGCTGACCTCGGTCGTGCTGCCCTCGCTGGCAACATCTTCTTTTCAGCAGACATTTGGAATTCACACGCCCGCAGTTTCCACCCTTCGCAGTTCCTGCTGGCCAGCCCTCCTCCAGCCCCCTTCTGTCCCCGCCCCGATTCTATAGCAAATCTCGAACCAGAGCAAACGACCGCATTTTTGCTGTGGAGCCCGGTTCGTTGCGAAAACGAGGTCGTTTGCTCCTTTGCGGGGCCTTTCCGGCCCGACCCTCTATCCCTGCCCTTTGCAGTTCTGTGTGGAGGGAGCCAAATGACAAGGCTAAGGATTGAGCCCGCGAACCCTGCGCAGCGCCCGCTGGAGGTTGTGGCCCAATCCATCTCGCTAGCCGGTCCAAGGCTTGCAGCCTCACAGCTGCAGAATAACGCCAAACCCCAGCCCTCCACCCCTTCCTTCCTGCCCAGGCTTCCATTTTTGTAGCTCTTCCCAGTCCCAGGGCCACACTGTGAGTCAAGCCCATTTCGTCTGAAATGCGCAGGCCCGTGCTCCAGCTGCCCTTCCTTGCCCAGCCCTTCAGTTTTTTGCAGTTCTCGCGAGTTGCCGATCATTCATGTTGATTTCCAGGCGCAAACTTTGTGCTGTAGTGAAAGAAATTCAGGGTCCCACCCTTTTCCCAGATGAGGCCCCTGCAGCCCTTCCCAGTAGTGGTTTTTCAGGGTGTCCCTTCCGAGTGGCCGGGCGACGTTTAGGGGCTGGAAGCACCTGTGGCAACATTCTATGGGGGTCTGGCGACCGGAGCGATGTCGGTGGCCACCCACGCTGTGGTTCGGGCCTGCCGCACAGGTGCGTTTGCGAACCTGGTCTTACTCTCTTTTCTCGGGACCCGGTTCCGAGGATTTGCACGCTAAACTAGCAGCCATGCGTCGGCACATGCGAGGCCGTCCCGATGATCTGCTGGATGCTAGTGTGCTTGCCGGCCGCGTGCTGCGTGCTCAACTGGCAGGCTTGGGTCTGTCGGCAGCATGGGCTTGCTTGCAGGCCGCCCTGCCGCAGACTGTCGCAAAGCCCTCTCTGAAGCGAGGAAAGGCGACCTGGCGCGGCAAGGAAGAGATTCTGCGGACGATCCGCACGTACCTGGTGTAGGCCGGTCGGCTGTGGTATTTCTTGAGTGGATCCTTTCGATATCCGGTGCAATAGTCAGGTCTTTGCAGAAACTGAACCCGGACCCGGAGCCAGGCGAGGCTTGAACCTGATGCATCGCTTCCCATTCAGGGTCAGCACCGAGCGACAGGATGCGGGTACAGTTTAGGCGTAGGCATCAAAAACCCTGCTTATCTACTTTTGTTTGTGATGTTTCACGTCTGGGTTTAGGGATCAGTGTTATGTGATTATTCATCTTCGTCCCCATCCTAAACCAAAGACCCTGCAGGGAGACGGTGGGGCAGAGAGACTATCGTCTGGCGCCGGGTGTGCAGCGTGGAGATCTTAACAGAAAACATGAAAGGCACAAGTTTCGCTACATCTCACGCCTCAAATGTGATAAGTTCTAGAGAAGTTGCAGATGGTCCACAATGCTTGCCATGTATGTAAACTTTCAAGACCAGCTGTTTGATGCTGACAAGGGCCAACACGTGCGTTCTTGGGAAATGTTTTCATGCTTACACACTGCGCGAGTGAGCTGCTGACCGACAGCGTGCACGAAAAAGCAACATCAGCATAGTTGCCGTTTTCTCAGGGGCCCAAAGCATCGGCGCAGATGTGTTGGTGCGGGCATCCGTGGCGCTTGCACTCCTTCAGGGTCGGGCCGGGACGGGATGAGGGTCCTGAAAAGGAGCAAGCGACCTCGTTTTCGCAATGAACCGGACGATTCCACAGCTAAAACGCGGTCGTTTGCTTTACTTCGAGCGGGGTCCGCGGCTCGAGTCCGGAAAGGTGTGAGGGTCCGACACGCAGCAAACGACCTCGTTCTCGCAATGAGCCGGACGATTCCGCAGCAAAAACGCGGTCGTTTGCTCTGGTTCGGGCGGGGTCCGCGGCTCGAGTCCGGAAAGGTGTGAGGGTCCCGACACGCAGCAAACGACCTCGTTTTCGCAATGAACCGGACGATTCCACAGCAAAAACGCGGTCGTTTGCTGGGGTTCGGGCGGGGGTCGTATATATATATATATATATATGTGTGTATATATATATATATATATACCGACACTCACGTACGCCGCTGGAAGGTTGCTTGGACAGGGCGTCGGCCCTCAACCCTGCCAGCGCCGGAGAAAAATCCGGAGGGTTTGGGGCCATGGGGTTCAGGGTTCAGGGACTGGATCGACGGCTTGGGGCCTTCCGACTTGGGGTTTGGGAGGTGGCCGCGCGCGTTTCGGGTCGTGGTACGTTTTTTCTTGGGGCGTGGTACGCTTTTGTCTGCGACGTGGTTCAAGAACCGTTTGTTTGTCGCGGTGCGTATGCGCCCTCTTCGCGCTGAGGCTTTATGTTTAGGCTTTTGGGGTTTAGGGGTTTCAGGCTTTTAGAGCGTTCTTAATTTTAGGGTAGCAGGTCTTCACCTTCGCGAAGAGTTTACGAGTTTTGGGGGGTTTCAAGGTTCAGGGTTTGAGGGTTTGGCGGCTTTAGGGTTTGTTTGGGGTTTTGGGCGTAGGGTTTCGGGGTTAGGGGTTTAGGGTTTAGGGTTTCGGGTTTCGGGGCCTGAATCTGAACCCTACGCCCTAAACCCCTGAAGCATACACTCCTCCATCTTAGGAGGGATGTGGTCTCCTTCAACACTACCATGGCTGCTTGCTCCCGCGTTGCAGGACGCCTCTAAAGTTAGAATAGGGCCATTATAATAAGGAATCCCGACAATAGTATAGGGAATAATTAGGGTCCCTGACTACTATTATTGACCATCTTAGAAGTGGCGTTTAAAGTTCTCGACTACGAAAGAACTTCAAGTGTCGATGCTCCCGAAACCCGATAAACTTTAAACCCCAAACCCTGAAACCCAAACTTTAAACCCTAAACCCGATAAACTGTAAACCCTAAAGCCTAAACTTTAAACCCCAAACCCTAAACTTTAAACCCTAAGCCCCAAACTTTGAAGCCTTAAACTTTAAAAACTATGCCCTAAACTTTAAGTCCTAAACCCTGGTCCCACGGAGAGCTCAAGCTGGGGAGGCCCTTCCCGAAATCAGGGTCCCAAACTGCACATTACGGTTAGGCAGGAGGTTTGGGTCACTTTTTAAGGTTTAGGGTTTTATGGCTTCAGGGTTTTAGGGCTTTAGGGTTTTAGGGTTTTAGGGTTTTAGGGTTTAGGTAGATGAATTAAACGAACGCTAGTTTGGGCACTCACAGAAGGGGAGATTCTTCATCAGGGGTCTACATGACGAAGTACACCCTGAATCCTATAAACCTTAAACCCTCAACCCCAAACCCTAAGCCTTAAATCCTAAACCCTAAACCCTCAACCCCAAGCCCATAAAGCCCTAAGCCCAAACCGCGGTGCCCCTAAAGGTTCGAACCCAAAACCCCCAAGGGGTTACACCCCCGAACACAAAACCCCAAGCGTCCAAACCTTGACGCCGCTAAACCAAGTTCCTCCATAGGGGGTTAGGGTTTAGGGACCCATTAATTGAGAAATATGCATTAAATCAGACAAAACTCAGGCCCCTATTTCCTTAAGGGTAGTGGGATCTCTGGGGTTGCTTGAAGGCATATTCCTCAAGGAATGGCTATGATGGAAACCCTAAGCCCCAAACCTCAAGAGGTGCTTAGGGGTTTTTGGGTATTGAGGTCTGGAGCATAGAATCCAGAGTTTAGGGTTTAGGGGTTTGAAATTTGACATGTTTGCGGGGTTGCAGAAGGCTCTGTAACGGTTCTGCAATGCCGCCAGGGTTTTCTGAGGGCTTGGTACAGGTGATTATTAAGGCCCCTATGTTAATTACTGACCGTCTCAGAAGTGGCGTTTAAACCCTAAACCCTTAATTAAGGGGTATTGGGTGGGGTTCTCTGGGCCCCCCCCTCAAAGGATGGCCTCGTACTTTGAGTCTCCTTGCAGACATGGCCGCCAGCCGCGTGGGAGGACGGGCTTGAACAGGGATTTTTGCAGTTCATCGGTGGTAAGGTTTTTGGTAGTAGGGTTTAGGGTTTAGGGTTCAGGGTGGTAGGGTTTAGGGTAGTAGGGTTCGGGGTAGTAGGGTAGTAGGGTTCAGGGTAGTAGGGTTTAGGGTTTAGGGTAGTAGGGTTTAGGGTTTAGGGTTCTCCATTTTTTGGGGGGGGTCCTTCTCAGAGTCCTGTTTATGAGGTTGCATGTCATCATACAGTCTTTTCTTAACCTAGAGAACTACCCATGTAGGTGCCATACGAATTGGACAGGCCTTTCCTGTACATTATTCAGTGCTTCATGACAGACTATCAGAGGATAATCTGAGTACAGATCTGGGGCGTGAATAAGAATTACTAAACCC